CCCCAAAACCCCAAAACCCCAAAACCCCGTAGTGATAATATACCATTATCGTTTAAGCAATTTAAATTTGAATAAATAATTTAATAATAAGATGAGACTAAGTATTGTTAAAGTTCAGTTTGCAGCTCTTTTAGCCATTTCCCTTTTTACAAATAGAGCCTTTGCCCAAAGCTTTGCTTCGAGCTGCCCTAATATCCAATGTGTGCAATATGATGATAAGATGGAGCCAGATAACTTATGCCTTGCTCATTCTGGAGATATCCCTACGACTTCAATTAAATTGAGAAATTGCAATGATCTACCAAACTCAGTTTGCAACCTCATAGAATATGATAAATTCGCTTGGCCTAATGTCACCCAACAATTTAAGACTAACACTTCTATGACTGACCCCAGATAGTCTCCTCTCTTTGGCAAGCAACTAGAAGTCAAGTGCACTGATAAGAATGATTTGCTGGAAACTTAGTTATAGAACGGAAGAAGTTGTCTCGAGGACATCTAATGTCTGAGCAAGAAGTGTGACTGGGATGCTGGAATATGTGTAGGCAGAAAGATCAATTAGACATGCAAAGACCATTCATAGTGCAACGCTGGCTTAGCTTGTATGGCTGCTAGAACATGGCCATTCACCACAACCTGCTAGGCACAACTGGCTGAAAATGTTACTAACTGCACTTCAGATTTCGACTGTGCTAACAATATGGGTTGCATTATTGTAGTGGATAATAGAACGTAGGTGAATAGATGCGTCAAATACTACTCACTTAATGGGAGCACTCTTTTCACCTGGGATCAGGAATAGTATAATCTGCAGTCTAATTTAACTACATTCCTCAATCTTACTAAGGAAGCTATACTATATCATGGCAAATTTTGCAAATCAGGGTTTGCCAATAGATTTTCATTGAACAGAGCACAGTGCGTAGATATTGATAATGTGAGACTAAGTAATGATGTAAACACAGTGGTTGCCTCTCCTTACTAGTGTAGGGCTGATGGGAGTGTTATTTGTATTTACTAAACAGGTAATTTGAAAAGATTTTCTTTGCAATGCGAATGTGGCTTTGATTCAACCACGGGCTACTGTCCATTACCTGATCAGACATTTATGAGTAATTTGGCTAATTACTCAAGGTCTCTCTACGATGGCAATTAATGCCACACCCTTGATCGCCACAATATAATTGCCTAAAAAGAATGCGGTATTGGGTAATTTGTCACACAAATCAATACCTCAGTCAAATTTCAACAAGCCAGTGATTACCAATTTCAGTTGAAGTACTGGACATTTACTAGAACTGTTGAGTCATATTCCTGCATGAATAACATTTTCCCAACTTCTCAACTGAGCATAATGGCTTTTGCAAAATCATTGGTTATCATTAGAAATCTAGTAATCACTCTAAGTGTATTATCAGCATCAATATTATTTCTTTGAGTTTTATTTTGACAAATATTAATTTTCAACATTCATAGAAGGGGTTTTGGGGTTTTGGGGTTTTGGGG